GTACATAGGTACATGTCCTGGACGGACACCAGACCGCCATAGGGTACATAGGTACATGTCCCGGAGGGATGCCAGACCGCCATAGGGTACATAGGTACATGTCCCGGAGGGATGCCAGACCGCCATAGGGTACATAGGTACATGTCCCAGAGGGATGCCAGACCGCCATAGGGTACATAGGTACATGTCCCAGAGGGATGCCAGACCGCCATAGGGTACATAGGTACATGTCCCAGAGGCTTCGGATTTTGAACTTTATGTGGAACACAGACACGTCAGAGATGCAATTTAGGCTTAAATATTCACCAAACCATTCACTTCTGGACTGAAGCATCAGAGAAGCAGACAAGCACAGGGAGTACGGTGGGAATCAAATCCAGGCTTTGTGAGAACACACTAAACACTAAAGTAGTAATAATGCACAATGTGGTAATGTTTTGGTACTTTTGACACCTTATACTATGCATAGTTTTGAAGTGTTAAGTTTTCCTGCCAGTAATCAATCCCTTTCTTGAAGTGCTCACTGCTGTCTGGAACAGAGGGGCAAGCTGTGTCATGCAGGTCCCAGCCATCCAGATCGCCTGTCCTGTAGTGTCTGTTCCTGTCTGAACATTTTATCTTTTATGTGTTGTTATATGTCTACAGCAGTGGTTTACATCATGTCAAGAAAAGTGTTCGATGATATCATTCCCGGCTGGAAGCACAGGACCTCCAGTTTAACACAGTGTTTCCTAACCCGATCCTGAGAGACCCCCACATGGTCCATGTTTTTGCTCCCTCCCAGTTCCCAGAGCAAAAACATGGACTGTCTGGGGCTCCCCAAGGATCGGATTGAGAACTATGGCTTTAAAGGCTGATGGGCCCCCATGTGCATGATGCTGGGGCTACATAGGTGTGGTCAGCTCACCTGCAGGTAGTCCACCACCACACCCTCAAACTGGTCCTTGGACTGGGAGGCTCGGCGCAGGGAGATGGCCCGCAGAGACGGCAGCCTCAGCCTCAGCCGGTGCCTCTGACCTGGGGTTGCAGTGAGGGTGGGCGTGACATCAGTGGCTGGGGACATGCACATGACTACATGCGTGTTACAAACATTGGCAGCATGCCTGTAGTATTTTGTGCATGTGCACAAAACACACATTGCTGTTTTTATCAGGACTCCCAGCATGCTCCTTTCAATGAAATTGTTACTGTATCTTAACATAAACCAAAGCCCAAAAGCTTGGGAATTCACATCTGATTAACCTATAACATCTGGGTTAAAAAAACACCATTAAGTGATACCATGGAGATACAAGATCTTTCAGAGGTACCAACCGGTCCGGACCCAGCCCTGGGCTATGTGCTGCCTGAGCCCCCCCTTCCTCAGCGAAGTGTCAAGCAGCTCCTGGAAGTTGAGTATGAACATGATAACTGTTCCCTCCTCATTCTTCACCGGAACCACGTCCACCATGCAGGGTAGGCAGGTCCCTGTGGGAGGACAGCCAAACAGTCCTTAGAGCCGGTTATCTGCACATACACTGCAGGCTGGGCTGCGGGGACCCTAACAGAGGCCCCGTGCCCCTTCACAACAGAGCAGCTTTGCATTCAATCAATCAGATAAGGTCCTAACATGACGACATTTCTGCTTTTTTAATAGACCAAATTTGACTAGCAAGCAACCGGACGGGCAGATTTTGAATCTCTGTGCCACAGTGTCTACAGATATCCTTGCAATCTCCTTGCCACAGGCAAGAGTAGAACCAAATATGAATGCAATTTTGTGCATTTGATTCTATTCTCAGATCCTAAAAACCCTGTATGGTACACAGGCTGGCAGCTAAAGAACAGTAACCATGATTTGTGGAAATGAGTCTCACAGTAGAAATTGGATTAAACTAAAGTTTCCCTGTATGTGGTGTCCTGATGGTCCAAAATGAGCATGAACTACCATCCATGGTATACTGAGCCACCCTCCCCACACCGACAGGTGGGAACCTGACCTAGGACCAGAAAAAGGTCATTACATACCATTTTGTCCCTCGCTTATGGTGTTCCATATTCAGAAGCTTTACAATCACCCATCCATTATGGCCCCAAGCCCCGAAACCAGCTGCTTTTAGTTTTGTTTGAAGAAGCCTTGTAAGTAGTAATAAAAGGCTGTCCTTTAAGGGCTATAAAGTCCAGATGGGTGAATTAGTGTATCTGACAGGTGAGCAAACGCGCATCCGTTGAGGTGTGGAGATGCCTAAAATACAAGCAGGCTGGAAAACCTGGAACCTGGCAGAATGTTTAACTACCTCTGACTCTTAAAGCTGGCAGGGGAAACAGGGCTGAAGACCCATGACAGGTGGGATTAACCTGCTTGGCCAGGCAGAGACACTTTACCCTGCTTTCCACTTAAAAGGCTTTACAGTGGGTGGGGTGGGAGGTCTTCAGAGGAATATTAAAAGGTCAGACGGCATGGCCAAGGGAGGCTGACCCCTAAGACATCCTCCTTTCAGTCAGAGATTAGAGGAAGGCACACTTTCCTCAACTCCTGGCTGTACTCTATCATAAAAAAGGCCAAAAATAGCTCAATCCATCGGGGGGGGGGCGGGGAGGTTGTGTGCCAGGCATGGCTTTCCACTGACTTCGACAGCTGCCTTTCAGTATTTGATTTAGCTGCTTATTTGTGAGTCTGCATCTTCATTCGCGCCCCACCCCCAGTTGGTACTTGGACGTAACAAGTGGCAGCTTTTTATTCTGCAGGAGAACGTGAACAGGTCATCATGGCCAAACGACAGGACATCCTCTGTTCAGCACACGTCACCGTCACGGAGGTGGGAGTCAGTACTTCAGTACCTTTCTGGTGCGCAGATGCCCTGATGCACTAATGTAACAGCCTCTCCGACCAGTTAGGTCCCTTATGCATATGCCAGTTCAGGGTGGAGCCGAAGCTGATGATGAACACAGAGATAGCTGACAAACCTTGGTGTTGCCTCCACAAACATCTGGCCTGTGGATGCTTTGGGTGTTATGCTGGGGGGGGGGCAGACAGGCATGCTTTTCTTTTTTAACATCTGTATTGGTGTGAATCACAGTTATCGTGCTGTTATGTTGAAAAAAACTTTCCATATTCATTATAGATATGCACTTTTCCAAAAATAGTAGATATTTTGGCTTTTTAATGAGGGACTAAGGGTTCATAATACAGTTTATGGTTTGCCAGATACTTGAAGTCTCTACTTCCATTAAATGTTTTTAGTATCATAATAAAATGCATTCAAATTACTAGCTTATAAAGGGTTGCCATGGTGAAAATCACACACGCATTAGTTTTAAGAAATAATATTGTAAAGAAATTTCTGGAAAACATATTTAGTCTTCCTGCTCCACTACAATGATTTAGAGGCATGTCTTCTTTTAAGCGTATGTCCTTAGATTAACCACAACCTATACTGGAAAAAGAATGGCTGATTTGTATACCTGGCATGCATTTAACATTACAATACCTGTCCCTGTGCCCCGCCCCCTCCCCCCCCAAAGCATCTGGTATTCTCCCCCACATGGAAAGAAAAAGGGTCTTTCTCATGAACAACAAACACAGCTGAACGGTGTGGCATATGATTCTGATGATCGTGTACACCCTTATGCAAATTAATCAAAACGTTGTTACACAGACATGCATAAAGTGGCCTGGGAACTGCTGGTTTGCACAGCCAACAGGGCAGAGATTATGCTGAGTGGATGGACAGAGGAGGCACTGTGCCTACAGACTGGCAGGCCTGCTCAGGTGATTAGAGCTGGGTGGTATTACTGAGTGGATATATAGAGGAGGCACTGTGCCCACAGACTGGCAGGCCTGCTCAGGTGGAGTTAGAGGTGAGTGGATGGACAGAGGAGGCACTGTGCCCACAGACCAGCAGGCCTGCTCAGGTGATTAGAACTGGGTGGTATGACTGATTGGGTGGACAGAGGAGGCACTGTGCCCATAGACTGGCTGGCCTTCTCTAGTGCAGTTAGAGCTGGGTGGTATGACTGTGCTTCAGCCATCCATGTATGTTTCAAGTTTTAAGCTCTGGGGTTTAGGTGTCTCCCCGTGTTGTTGTGTGGTTTCTTCTAATTTCTCACCCTCAGTCCAAAAATATGCTGAGGTTAATTTGAGTTGTCAAATTCCCCAAAGGCATGAATGGTGTGCGTTCCCTGTGATGGACAGGCACCCCACCCACCCTGGGTTATTCCCATACAATTTTAACAATCCACCAGGTCCTAAATCCAGACCCAAGGCCATAAGTATGAATTAATGTCACTGTGACGTCCATCTTACCTGTGGTCAGTCTGTCTGCATATAGACGCAACAACTTGTTTCAATTAATTTGCACAAAGGTGCATATCTTTATATTGACCAAAAGGCCAAAGACCCATATTAAAAACACAAGCAGGCACCACATAGCCAGGCCAACAAAAAAAAGAAAGACATTAATGGACCAAAAATATTAAATTTCTACAAAAACAATTCGATGATTGAGACTGAGCGGATTGATGCCTCAGCCTAAAAATAAAAGCGATGATTGAATCAGCAACAGCTGCTTCTCTTTCATGCCTAAATGCTAATGCAAAGCGGGAAACTTTGAATTGTCACTCAAAAATGTGTATCGTTATCTCTGCTTGGAACCAAGCTGTAGGGTGTACTCAATAAGTAGTAAGCTGTTTAGCAAAGCCAAGCTGCAGTGAATTGCCAGCAGCAAATATTTGCAAAGCAAAACATGTCAAAAATCTCTTTGCTTGGATACATTGGATACATTACTGATATGGACACTTCCTTGTTTGAGTTGAAGGGCCCTTTGAAGATGAGTGAAAATGTCATGGATAGAACTACATGTGTGAGGCAGAAGCATTCCAGACTTAGTAGACCAATGGCACTTTTCCACTGGTACACATGAACTAAGACACACCTGACCCGAACCATGGAGAGATACTAGTTACAGTGCAGTTCCAGCTTCCTTCAGATGTCCAGTGCAGAATGGTCAGCTCGGCAAAGGTGCTGCTGCCAGTACATCCCGATGCGTAATGCTACTAATAATGAATAACATACAGAACAGCGATTCTCAACCCAAGGGTTGTGACCCAAACTTGCCAAATCTGAAAGGGTCACAAGGCAGAGTTGGAAATGTAAGCATTTTAAAAACACCAAGCTCCAATGTTGATCCACGATCAAATTTTCCAGCCCAATCGTAGAATTAACCTATGTAAACGAGTCTTAGGTCTTGTTACGACTGCCTGGCTCAACGGCAGAGCAACATAAAAGGAAACCACACGCAATCAAATAATCAATCAAAGAATTTATTTAAAGAAGGAATAATAAGTGTATGCAAAGTCAGTAATATGTAAGTAAAGCAAAAATGGTGCAAAGTATGTCTAGGGATGCCCAAAAACGAAACGCCAGAGGAGAAAGGGAGCCCCCCCAGAGTAACACGCAGGTCTCTTCATACCCCTCCCTATTAACGCTTCACACGGCACACCTGCCGTGGACAAGAACACAGGTAGGAAGTGGGCAGAGCTGACAGACCGGCAGAGCCGTCACAGGTCTGCAAATGCTTAGCGCAAGACTAGTTAACACTTAACCAATACAAGAGGCCAAACTACTAATGCTAAATTTAAAATTCACTGCCACATCCAATCAGATTAGTGCAATAGGTATCGATTCATGTAAACTGCAGAGTGAACTGCGTGCTACAGATCATGGTGTTAATTTAAACCTACATTTCATATAGGGTCGCGACTGAGCTGGTATGGTAAAAATTGGGTCATGGTGCAAAAAAGGTTGAGAGCAGAGTGCGAATTACCCCTCCATAATTGGGGGGTACTGCCTTCATAACACTTCTGTGACCATTACGGTCCGTTACCGCGTCAATACGAATAGTCGCCACCAGGATCAATGTTAAGAGTGCAAGATGCGCCAGGGGTGTTTACTGACATGTATGTAACACACGGTCATGGTCTGGACATGCGACACAATGAGAATCAATACAGAAGATCTCATTGTCCTTATCCCTATCCAAAAGAATTTGGTTTTGATAACTCCCAGGAATTATCCTAGAAGTAGTATACTAATAAAAGTAATAAGCCTATACATTTACAAACAGCCTGGTCTGGTCCAGCAGTCTGGTGTTATTCCTGCCCTCTCAGTCCCCCCAGCTCCAACAGCCTTCAGAAATGAATATTTGTCTATTAGGCTAATATCTGCCTTGATGACACAGTAGATACACAGTAGTACAGCCTAATTTCTAACTCACCTCTTGGTCTTGCGCACTGTCCTGATCCTGCCATCTTCCTACTGCCTGCACACTGTCCTGATCCTGCAATCCCCCTGCTGCCTGCACACTGTCCTGATCCTGCCATCTTCCTACTGCCTGCACACTGTCCTGATCCTGCAATCTCCCTGCTGCCTGCACACTGTCCTGATCCTGCCATTTCC